GTCATGCAGCTTCACTCATCTCTTGGAACACTAATTTTGGGGGCAAGCCAGTCTCCAAGTACCCTGTAACCTCCTTCGTGCAGAACCACATGGAAGTAGGTGTACTTGTGGACAACCCCACAAGCCCCAAGAGCACCACTGCCAAACAGCAGTGAGTCCCCTCAAACATCAGCACCCATTGGGTATTTAGATATTCCTCCCCAGTTCTTCCTTCACTTCATCTGTGCCTGAGATGAGCCAGGCACCAGAGTCTCCTTAAATCATGGAGTGAAGACAATGAGTGATTCTAGTCACCACAATATGAGCTGATTATTATTTGTGTGTGTGTGTGTGTGTGTGTGTGTGTGTGTGTGAAATAGGATTTGAACTCAGGGCCCCACACTTGTTAGGCAGACAGTCTTACTACCACTTTGACTTAATCCACCAGCACTTTTTTAGCCATCAATTGTTTTCAAGGTAGGATCTCAGGATTTATTTACCAGGGACTAGTTTTGAATCTTGATCCTCCTGATCTCTGCCTCCTGAGTAACCAGTATTACAGGCCGTTTGCAAGGGCATCCAACTGAGGAGAGGTTTTCCATAGAAGGCATAACTAAAATCTGTAAACCAGGAGTGCTGTGGGAATAAAAAGCTACAATGTGCAGCACTGCTGGGAAACAAAGCAGAGGTGCAGCCTACAGGACTCCTAATGCAGGCTGGAAGTGAGTCAGGAATCTTGCTGAGGAAAAATGTGTCTGTCGCTAATACCTGGAGAACGTCTTGTGGATCACAAATTGGAGAACAGTCAGCAAAACTACTACCTCTCACAGCATGGAACCCTGGGAGAGAGGTTTACTGTCTCAGGTTCTACCTAAGGTGGCTTCTAGGAAGAAGGTGGAAAGGAACATGCACAATCAGAAATCAGCTATATAACATTTGCTTGTCTTCAAATTAACATAAGGCCACTTGCAGAAACACCCAGGTTTTTCCTACCAGCATGGCTCCATCCATATAAAACCAGAGAGACCCCAGGCAACTGTACACTCAAGCTGCAAGGCTGCAGCCCTGGTTTCCTCTCTTGATGGTGTTACTTTAACGTTCCACTTTCAATTAACTTGGTACAAACTCCTTGTCTCTCAGATCAGTTCTTTGATCTTGACCCCAGACAAGAGACTAATGCAATTGCTGGGTCCCAGATAACCACCAGAACCTGATTTAATTGACCTTCCTACCAGTGTCAAAACAGGAAAGAAAAGATCTCTGGAGGAACTGAGAGAGGCCAAGTATATTTTGAACTTTGGCAAAATGTAAGTAATTTGTGGCCAAATGGAAAACTTCCTGTCTCTACTGACCTTCCAGCTGGGACCAGAGATATCTTGTAGCTGACCCTACTGCCCTGAAGCAGACCAGAGTAACAATGAAACACCAGAACACACACAACACAGACCATACTGCTGTGTCTAGTTCCCTGACCCTCAAAATTGTGACAGGTAATGAGAAGTTCTATTTAAGCCAATAAGATTTCTAGATGGAACACTTTAAATGTCATTAGAGACCATAGCAAGTACCATAGATTGAAACATAGAGTTCAGAGGCTTAGATTTAACTTATGCTCAAAATAAGTGAATGGTAAAGCACATTTCACAATTATGTTCTGCACTTTCTCAACGAAACCCCAGCAGCACAGCAACCTAGAGATAGCATAGATAAACGAGACTTCATAAAACTAAAAAGTTTCTGTTCATCAAAAGAAATGGTCTCTAAACTGAAGAGAAAACCCACAGAGTGGGAGAATATATTTGCCAGCTACACATCAGACAAAGGACTGATAACCAGAATATGTAGGGTACTTAAAAAACTAAATTCTCCCAAAACTAATGAACCAATAAAGAAATGGGCAAGTGAACTAAACAGAACTTTCTCAAAAGAAGAAATTCAAATGGCCAAAAAACACATGAAAAAATGCTCACCATCTCTAGCAATAAAGGAAATGCAAATTAAAACCACACTAAGATTCCACCTCACCCCTGTTAGAATAGCCATCCTTAGCAACATGACCAACAACAGGTGCTGGCGAGGATGTGGGGAAAAAGGAACCCTCTTACACTGTTGGTGGGAATGTAAACTAGTACAACCACTCTGGAAAAAAATTTGGAGGCTACTTAAAAAGCTAAACATTGATCTGCCATTTGATCCAGCAATACCACTCTTGGGGATATACCCAAAAGACTGTGACACAGGTTACTCCAGAGGCACCTGCACACCCATGTTTATTGCAGCACTATTCACAATAGCCAAGTTATGGAAACAGCCAAGATGCCCCACCACTGATGAATGGATTAAGAAAATGTGGTATCTATACACAATGGAATTTTATGCAGCCATGAAGAAGAACGAAATGTTATCATTCACTGGTAAATGGATGGAATTGGAGAACATCATTCTGAGTGAGGTTAGCCTGGCCCAAAAGACCAAAAATCGTATGTTCTCCCTCATATGTGGACATTAGATCAAGGGCAAACACAACAATGGGATTGGACTTTGAGCACATGATAAAAGCGAGAGCACACAAGGGAGGGGTGAGGATAGGTAAGACACCTAAAAAATTAGCTAGCATTTGTTGCCCTTAACGCAGAGAAACTAAAGCAGATACCTTAAAAGCAACTGAGGCCAATAGGAAAAGGGGACCAGGAACTAGAGAAAAGGTTAGATCAAAAAGAATTAATCTAGAAGGTAACACACACGCACAGGAAATTAATGTGAGTCAACTCCCTGTATAGCTATCCTTATCTCAACCAGCAAAAACCCTTGTTCCTTCCTATTATTGCTTATACTCACTCTTCAACAAAATTAGAGATAAGGGCAAAATAGTTTCTGCTGGGTATTGAGGGGTTAGGGGGGAGAGGGAAGGGGCAGAGTGGGTGGTAGGGGAGGGAGTGGGGGCAGGTGGGAGAAATGACCCAAGCCTTGTATGCACATATGAATAATAAAACAATAAAAAAAAGTTGACTTAAAAAAAAAAAACCAAAAAAAGAATTATGATCTGCCTCAAAATATAGCTGCGAATTTAAAATGTTCAGCTAATGAAGTTATTACTTTTTATTCTTATCTAACTATAAACTACAGTTACAGACCATAAGCATAGCCATAGCTGTTACAAACATCCATTTTTTGTTTTTCATTCTTAAATAGTTACATAAAGTAGCAGAGAAACTAAATGCAGTTTTTAAAGGAGTTTGTAAACATGACAGATCCTTTAGAATTACACAGAACTGTATACTGGTAAAAAGTACAATACAGTCACTGACAAATTTATATAAACAAGTTATAAATGATAAGTTTTGCTTCTGGTTTTTATTCTTTGCATCTTTTTTCATTGACATTCTTTCAAATGTGTCCCACAAATTTCCTGAATGCTTTCTTTTAGGGGCTCCTGAGGTGTGTTCTGTTTAGAAGCACTGTTCTGTGCAAACACACCCTTTAGGTTTTTCCAGGAATGACATGTTTATTCATGAGCATGATCAGATCCTCTCCCTCCATGCACTGTATGCAAACAGTATGACAAAATGAAAAGAACAAACAAAAGTTGCATAAGTTGACACCAGATGACATTAGACCTGACAAAGAGGGAGCAGTCCAGGAAAAAATTCCACTTTTGAAGGTTGGATCAGTGGTGGGATGACTGTGGTGCTGTAGGTAAGGAAGTGTTAACCACAGACAGCTAGATCCATGCAGGAGACCCACTGAGGGAGTAGATTGGAGCCCAGGATGGAGCACTTGGTTGAGTTATGTTAAGGAGCAGAAAAAGCAGCATAATTCAGGGCAATAGAAAAGACATCATGAGAAAGGCTGTGACAGGGACTAAAAAAAAGAATGTCGAGCACATCACAAGCAGTAGCTTCAAATATGGTAAATGGTGATGGATGTGGCATTTAAGTTATTAATGGGTTTCTGAATAGCTGAACTAAGACAAGGCTGAAAGGACAAATGAACAATGAGAAGATCTGCCAGGAAATGTAACTTTGAACAGTGTGCACATGTACATGTGGGCTGACAGACAGGTACAGACTCACTGAACAACATCTGGTCTACTCAATTCTCCAGATATTCCAGGTTTTATCCATGAATCAAAAATGGCCTTCCAAAAGCTGCCTGGGTCTACACTATTTCAACAACTCCAGAAAAATTTATTAAGAGAGTATTGCATTAGCACCAGATTAACCACTTCCACTGCTGAACATTAGAAGCGCTACTTTCAGGTTGGGCATGAAAAACTCACTACAACCATCTATGAAAGCAGGTAATGTTTTAGCCTTTGGTGAAGTATTTATGTCCCATGAGAAGTTAGCATGTTTTCTTGTGAGAGCATCAGTAAGACCAGAGATAAGGCCAAGCATGGGGGCACACACTTGTAACCTTAGATACTCTGGAGTCAGAGATATGAAGATTGTGGTTCAAGGCAAGCAGGAGCAAAAAAGTCATCAAGACCTCATCTCAATGCACAGGCTGTGTGTGATGCATCACAGCTATAATCCCAGCAACAATGGAGATGGACAGAACAGGATTATGGTGCCCCAGGCAAAAACCCATATGACCCTTCTTGAAAAATAACTAAAGGAAAAAGGGCTGGAGGCATGGTTCAAATGGTAGAGTGCATGTCCAATAAACACAAGGTGTTCAAACCTCAGTACTGTACTCACCACCAAATACGTCCAGAGACAAATCTGTAACCAACACAGATGTTTTTATCATCTCAATACTTGCCTATGGCTGGATGAAGTGGCTGAAGTGGTAGACTGTCTGCCTAGCAAGTGGTAGAATGTGCAGCCCTGAGTTCAAACCCCAGTAGTGACAAAGAAAAAACTGTAAAGAACCTACCTATGTCTACACACCAACTCTATCTTATTTCTGTGCATTATGCTGAAGCTGTTTTATTCATTTCTACAATTCCATTTATATTTACAGATTTCATAAAGCTCATAAAATACTATGTAAAGCAAAGTGAAGAATAAACAACTCACCAGAAATTGGTTCATTTTGTATTTCTCTTAGAAGAACATTCTGGAGGTATAGCTGAGAGAACAGCAGACTCATGAGTCAACAGGCAATGTTTGGTCCAGATTCTCCTGCTCAAAACTCTACATGTTAGCTGGAGGCAATGACAAAAAAATAAATAAATAAATAAAATTAAAAGATAAAAATATCCCACCCTGTAGAAGAATAGTCCCTTATACAAGAAAAAGGAACAAAGACTCCAGTAACTGTTACTGTGAACAAAAGGAAGCCATGTATGTTAAACTGGATCCCTCCCTCTTGAAGGTATTTACTGCAAGCACGGAGCATTGGGTTCTATCTCCAGCCCCACTTGAAAAAAAAAAAAAAAAAGAAAATTACTTCAAAAAAACATTATGTCTTTACCAAAAATGCACTTGGGGCCTCCAGCACCACAATGAAAAGCTAAAAAATTTTTAAAAGAACATACTATTCAAAAAAACCTAATGCACAGGGGGAGGGGGGTGGGGGGGGGGGTATGGATGTGGTGGCACATTTCTTCAATCCCAGCTACACAGGAAAGTGAGGTAGGAGGATGCTCAGGGTCTGAGGCTTTCCCCAGGCAAAAGCAAGCACTCATTAAGGGCTGCGGCGTGGCTCAAGTGCTAAAGATGCTTCCTTCAAGGCTCTGAGTTCAAATCACACCACTGCTGAATAAACAAACAAAAGCTTATGGTAAAAGGCCGAATCTGAAAAATTAACTACACGCAAAACGGGTTGGGAGTGAAGCTCAAGGGTGCAGTGCTTGCGAGCCCCCGCGTCCAAATCCCAGTACTGCCAAAAAAGAGAATAAATAAAATCACTTAGGCTACAGTAGGAGCTAAATACTGCCCACGGGATTATAGAAGCCATTCCCGCTGTAATTCCTCCTCTTTTCATGAGACAGTTGCATGCTGCAACTCAGCATTTTTGCTGATGCTCGGGCATAACAAATGTACCTGGAACTTGGGGACACCTTCCCTGTGATGGTTCCAAGGAGATGCCTCCGTTTACCTGCAAGGCAATGATCCACCATGTACCACTGACGTGCCCTGGCCACAAGGACGCCACTAGATGTGACACGACCAAGTGAGGAAAGACTTTGCTCCAAGGAGCGCCTTTCTGGCAGCAGTCACTCTGCAGACATTCAGCCGAGCAGTCACACACATGGCCGCTGCGACTTTCCCTCCCAGCCCGGCTCAGCTCAGCCCGCCACCTGTGTTACGGACCTGTCGGACGACCACCTGCGGTTCCACCAACACCTCCTCAGGTCGGAGGTCCAGCACCCCAAGGTCCCCGTGGCCACTTTCCCTCTCACCTTCCCACGGACCTGCAGGTACTCGGTGTAGGAATTCAAAGTCTGTGGTAAAGCGTCTGCAGGACAACAGTTCTAGGAACTTTTCTTCGGGAATTGAGGGGCGAGGCAGCGCCTGCGCAGAAGAAACCCGGAAGAGCTGAACTCCTGATGATGCTGGTGACTGAACTGGGTGAGACTACATTTCCCACAAGCCTCTGCGCAGGTCTCACAAGAAAGTTCATTTTCCAGATGGTTTGACAGCAGATAGATCAGGATGACATGCTTTAGGATTGGTCCCTCCCCAAATGATAGCCATGTGGAATCCTGGTTCTTTATTAAAACCTGCTGTCATTAATTCAGTGTATTTTGTGATAATTACTTTAAGACTTCAGCTTAAATGCATTGCGCCAGGCCGGTGGCTCAACCCTGTAATCCTACCTACTCCAGAGAGTGACATAAGGATCAAGGTTGTAGGCCAGCCCTGGCAAAAAAGTTCAAGAGACCCCACTGAAGTGCTCTCTTGTGCCCCAGCTCACCCCTGTGCTGTCCCCGCGGTCCCCAGGGTTACTGGCATGGGATTTCAGTCGAGAAAATTCCATGGTATACAACATGAGATTTCTACCTCAAAGAGCTCCTGCTAGAAGAGGCAATAGCATCTTGAAGATTGAGAAAAATGTGTGCCCCTTTCACGTGGGCCTTGGATCCTAGAGATTAAATTGCTTTCTCCAAGCAATCTTATAATAAGGGAGAGAAAGGTGAGGTGCTGGGGCAGAGCTTGGCCCCTGGGAAAGAAAAATTTTAAGTAGCAAGGAAATTCATGAGGACATCTCAAAGCCTGTAACGCTGCAGCCAGAGTGGTGCCAATGTAATTGGATCCAATAATTATGAATTTCAGAGGGAAAACTAGCAAGACGGGTGAGGATGCCAATATTTTGGTGGGACCTGCATTGTTCACCTAATGCTACCAAGGCACCTAAGATAGGGAGAGAACGGTACTCCTCTGATTTAATATTATATATTAGGTTGAACATTTTTCTCCCTCTCTCAGAATCTTCCATTTCATTGCAATATGTGCAGATTATTAAGCCTTAGATCAAACCAGCACCCTAGCCTAGGGACCACCCAAAGGCTTCCCCACTCAATGACTTTTGGTGAACAAGAATCACCCAAGTTTCTCCTCTCCCATGAGTTAGCACAAGTTTTAAAAGCACCTGGAAACAGGAAGAGCTGTCTGTCCTCTGCGTCATACCTGGCCCACCATGGCCTCTAGTAACTTATTCCCTATCCTTTCATAAACCTTTAGTATCATCCTCACTATGTATACATATCCTGCCTGGATGCATCCATGTGTGATGTAAGGATCTGTTTATCAACCCATACAACCTATGGTGATTCTGTCTACTAGGTACTCCTCTGTGGGAGGGAACTGGAAGCAGAGGTGGACTGAGAGTTTCCTGCAATGATGATGGAGCAGAGGCAGAGAGCCAGCCAGGCTGTAGACTGTTGGCTTCAGTTCCATCTGTTTCATGTCCAAACTTCCTCTGGCTATGTGAATCTGAGTCCTTACTTCTACCTTTTCCATGCTTACTAGGACAGCCAGATATCACCAGTTTTAATGGAAACATAAACATTTTTACCACAACAGTCTGCCCCTTTCCCAGCCGGTCATACAATTTTGAATTCAAAAACAAATTTTTGATATAAACTAAGAGCATGGAAAGATGTATCCTGTATCCTTTGTCCAGATGAGGATAAGGGATGTTAGACCTACAACCAAGACTAGGGTCTCTAGATTTATGTTAAAGGTTTGGGTAAAAACAAAGTTACTGTAGCCCAAGGTAAACTGTTTTCCCAGATTATTAAAAACACACTCTAGAGGGAAATCTAAACCCGTCAATATCTAAGCATGCATTCAGAATTAATGTAATTGCTTTATAGACATTGTGTGAATTTTGTGTAAGCCTATTGCATGATTAACTTATTCAAGACAAAAATTTGATAGCTATGACAATTATCATATTGGAGACTGAGACTATCTCAAAATACTTTTCTAGAATTGACCCTTGCTTCAGTTATCAAGCCATCTTAAAAAAGAGAGAGAGAGAGAGAATGGGATACATTCCAATCTGTTCATCAAATTTTTTCAAATAACTGATCCATGTACTTGTGGCCACTTAGTTATTTTTTACATGTTCTGAGCTCTTGAATCTATGCATGCTTAAATTGACAGTTATAGTATACCTAATGTAGACTTTTTTGCAATACACATGTTTGAACATCTTTAGGATGATTCTTATAATAGATGTAATGGAATGGAATAAAAGGCTTCTGTTCTCTTGTCTCCAGACCCCTCCCTCCCCTTTTCTGGTGCTGCTTTTAAGAAAAGCAGTTTTTCAAACTTCTATGTCAATCAGGGCTTACTAAAAAACAGGCATTACTTTACAGACAATAACCTTAATCTGTTTCATTTTGTGTAATTTACATTGAATTCTTTCATAATTAAGTCTGGTAACAAAGGTGTCTTTATAAGTTAGTTATTGTATAGAAAAACAGTTTAAGATTGCCTTTTTCATGTTCTTCTGAAAGATTTTCAAGGGTCATGTAGAACTAGAACCTGAATATCTTTATCCATACCAACAAGGCTATGTTAATAATGTTCTGCTCTGTGTAACATCTGTAAGAGACTTGTAATGAAAGATTTTATCAAAATAATTACTAGTGTTTTCTGTTAAATACTTAAACTAAACTTTCACTAAATCAGAGTTCATTTAAGTATTTGCTCATTTAAAGTTCTCTTAATTGACTACCCTATAATTGTGTTCTGTGCCTAGACTTTATCTAAATAGTGTACAAACATTTGCAAAATTAAAAGTGTCAGTTTAATGTATGTAGAATGACCAGCTAAAGCTCTCTTTCACCCAAAAGCATTACATCAAAGCCTTTGGTATATAAAATGATTAATGAAACTTTTGATAGTTGTGCTGTTTGTGATCAGTAACATTCTGAAAAACCATGCAATTTGAGCAATCCTGCTATATAAAATCTGGCCTATATTTGTGTTACTCAAATTAGTTTTACTGTATATGTGAAATGTACTGAATCTATGCTTTCAAAAGTTCATGTCCATCTCACAGGGGAAGATGCATTCAGTACATCTGCAACTGTTTCCATTATCTTAACAGTCCCAGAGTTGCTAAAAGTTGACAGTCTCCTCTGAGACTCTGAGCTTGGTTTGCCAAACTCTTAATTGTGAATCCCCAGAAAATCCAAAAGAAAGTTAGACATTTCAAGGTATACATGTTCAAGGGTAATATTTTCCAAAAGGGAGAAAAAGGAAATAGTAAGGAGAAATCAGACCAAAGGAAAATCAAATGCAAACATGGCAAACAATGAACCCTTTAGCATCAGGTCCAGCATCAGGGACTCTGGTACTGTGATCTGAACCCCAAGACCTCAGGCAGTTATGTCCCTTGACAGGTGCAACCCAGATGGCTACTCTTAGGTTGGCTGTGCTCACAGTCTGTGGCCTTCTCTCTGCATATCATCCAACTTTCTGACAACTGACCTCTGGTGGTCTCCTTGGCAGGTTGCATTCATTCTCACAGCTTCACATCTTGACCTCCCAATGGCTGCGTGCAGAGATTCTGGTCTTATTGTGTACTGCTTGACCACCCAGGATATCCTTTGAAATCTCCATACAAGCCTCTGTGACCCCATATTTCTTGCATTCTGCAGACCAAAACACAAGCATCGTGTGGAGGATGCCAAAGTTTGCCACATAATTGTACTGCACAGTATGGGCCCACGTGAGGCTTAACTTCAGCAGACTCTGGGTACCTAGATGGCTCACCATGGTTAAATGAATGCCAGGGAGACAATTCCCCTGAGTCCTGGGAAAGCAAAGAACCCAGGCTCTTCTCATACAAAAGTCTCTGACATAGCTGGGAAACTGTGGCCGAAACCTGTAATCCTAGCCACATGGGAGGCTGAGATCAGGTAGATCATGATTTGACACCTGCTGGGTAAATAACTCTCAAGATCCCATTTCCAAAATATGCTGAGCAAATGGAATGGAGGTGTGATTCAAGCGGTAAAGCTTTAGGTGTAGGGCATTGAGTTGTTTCCATAGCTTGGCGATTATGGATAATGCTGTGATGCACATTGTTGTACAGGTGTCTCTATTGGATCCTGAGTTATGTTCTTCTGGGTAGATTCGAAGAGGGGTATCACTGGATCATATGGAAGTTCTATCGCTAGCATTCTGAGGATTCTCCATGCTGATTTCTATAGTTGTAGTACTAATTTGCATCCCCACCAAGAGTGTGTAAGGCTTCCTCTTTTGCCACATCAGCAGCAGCATTTAATGTTGTTACTTCCCTTGAATATGGCCATTACAAGTCAGGTGAGATGAAATCCAAGTGTTGTTTTGATTTGATCTCTTTCATATCCAGAGAGGATGAAACTTCTTCATGTATTTACTGGTCACTTGTACCTCTTCCTTTGAGAATTCCCTGTTTAATTCATGTGCCAATTTCTTCATTGGGATGTTGGTTCTTTGGGAGTCAGTTTATTGAGTTCCTTGTAGATTCTGGAATATAGGGCCTGATTGGATGAGTGACTGGCAAAGATTTTTCTCCTATTCTTTGGACTGTCTCCTGAGTCTAGTGATTGTTTCTTTTCTTGTGCAGAAACACTTTAGTCTGATGCAGTCCCATTTTTTCATTCTTTCTCTACCATGCTGAGTCTTTTAAGTTCTTCTTAGGAAGTTGTTCCCTATACCTATATGTTCCAATGTATTTCCTATTAATTCCTGGAGTTTTTGTTCAAGGTCTATTTTGTCAGATATGACTGTAGCTACTCCTGCCTGTTTATGGGGTCCATTTCATGCTGCCTGACACCATGCTTCACAAGGCTAACTCTGGACTTTTTTTATTTTCTTATCTCCCTAAATGAACTGTTCTGTAAGTTTAAATGCCACCTTCAAGCTACCAGTTTCCAAATTTGTGCTTCCAAGAGTGATGTAGACTCTCAAATCTAGACCTTCACATTCATAATTATGTATAAAATTTTGAAAACAGGAACTGAAATTAGAGCTATGCCCAGGTAAACATATAATAATC